AGGGAGGACATGCGTCAAGCTGCAGCAGCAGGAGGGGTCAGAGCAGCCTCTGTTCCTCTACTGCTCGCGTTCTAGGACAGCTTGAGTGTAGTTTTCAGTTGCATACAAAACTAGAAATAAAAGCATAGAAATCTTTATGTCCTTGTTCTAACGCTCTCTTTAGTGCACCATATGGTGTATCTACCATATTAGGTAAACAACTTTACAAAATTACAAGAGCAACTGAGATTCATTACAACTTGTGCATTGTAAGTGTGTAGGATCCATTACTGAATAATTTATCTTTTCATACTCTCTGCCTCTTGTTTGACATTGGAAGTCACTTTCCAGGCTGGATTCTTCAGGACTAGGATCCAGCTGCTCCTCTCTGCTCACTGCTCACATTCCATTTCAAATAGTATCAAAGAGCAACTTGGGTAAGAGTTCTGATAATGGGTTACTGGTAATTATTGGTGCTGGTGTAGAAATAGTCTCATACAGTGAATGCTATTTCATCCATCAGCAATTACAACAAAAGATCTTGAACACTACAGGCACGTACGGATTCTCTCTAGTGCCAAAGAGTAAAAGCTAGGAGGAGCTATACAGGAAAAACATAATACTGACAGTTGTTTTAACCTGCTTCTTTAGGATATTGTTATTTAATACTTATTTTCCCCACTGAGAGCTAACCTATATAGACCATGGTGTAGAGACCGTCTCAAGTGGTAATGCAAGTCTCTTTCTGCTTGTTTGCTATGGTTAGCCTAAAATTCAGTACAAGAACATCCGACAGAGGTGGCAGGAGGATGGATTAGTGATAAGGGATGTATCAGAGAAGCCTACAGATGGTTTGAGAAAAGGAGAGTCGCTTTTGGTTGTCTCTGCACAGCTCCTCTGAGTCTTAACTGACCAGTGAGTTACAGAGTGTCAGGAGGAGACAAAGGAATGGTGCCCTGGTTGAAGATGTAGTCCTATGTAGAAGCTCCTGGTTGGTAGATGTGAAAGTCTGTGTGCTGATTCTTCTGCAAATAGGCGTCAGTCTGCACTAACAAGTGTTCAGCAAAACCAGCAAGACTTCCTATGCATCTGCAATACAAGTGTTTGACAATCCACAGGAAAAATACCCCTGGTTTAAGTGTTTTACTTTGAATTTAGGGGCAAATGCAGTCTAATTACCGATGTGCGCGTGGAGATAAATAAACTTCAGTGCCTCTTTGCAGTTTGTGGACTTTGCTGTCTTCTCCTTGGAACCTCAAAATACTGCTTATTGGTCTTAAAATCACCCTGGTTACTTCAGCTATCCTTAGGTGAATCCCTGAAGAAATCTAATGCCTCCAGCAGTCAGGGATTAATACTGGAAATTAAGTGTGCTGTGCTCCAGGAAAGTGGCTTAATCTTGGCATTGAAAGATAGATGAGCAGTAGATTTGGAAAGCAACTGTGCAGTCCCTATGTAGTTGATGATAATCACACCTACCTACTCTCCTGTTTCCACTTAAGGACAGTGTCTACCCTGATGTGTACTAGACTATCTCTGACAGCTACAGAAGCACCAACGCTTTGACTGCAATTCAGTGTTGCAGACAGAACACCTAACACAGTGCTGCTATGGAACTGTGGCAAAACCACCCACCTATTTAAGTGTTTGTAGCTGCCTAACATTACTGGAGCTCCAGCAGTGGAGCAGAAAACCAAGAAACTCTTCTTTTCATCAAATATATTTAATTATAGTGAGGTATGATGGAATAAATATATTATGTGTCAGCTTACAGGATAGCCTCGTTCTAAAAGCAAGGTATTTAACAATACCTGGTTACTGATTGAGAAATACATAGAAAATATCTGTTAGAGACTACTTAAGAGCTTGATTTTCAAAAAGCAAAGTTACCTGAGCACACAACCGCCTTGGCAATGTCTCGGTTTTATGAGCCAGTTAGAAGACTGTCACCAACACATGCTACATGCAGTTCACATGGGAGTTCCTTAAGTATGGCTGTACTGGGGCATACCAAAGGCCATGCAGCTCAACATCCTGCACCCAAAAGAAGATGCCCAGAGAATACACTGTGGGATAAAGGATTATTGTTTAAAGGTCTTCAAGGCTTTACAGTCTGAAGGCACTGTGGGATACTTTTTTCCTTCCCAACTGCTCTTAATTTAACTCTCGTGCTTGGTACTGCTGGCCAAAATAGGAAGTATCAATATCCAGAGTCATCTGTGGGGGAAGAGCTAGAGAACTGTATTAAGAACAAGGAGCACTTGTGTAAGAAGATGGAAGTTTCCAACTACGCAGCCCAGCAGCTAGCAGTTCTTTAAGCATATCTTCTGAATGGAGATGACTAGCAAACATGCAGAATGATGGCTGTGAAGGTGACCAGAAGCTCTGTGAGCTTCTGAGAGATTTCTTGTGCAAGTCCATATGAATCATGGGGGAAACAAAATATTGGAAGATTAGTGTCCTTCTGGTCACTACAAGGAGCTTCAGCAATTTCACATTAATTTGAATTTAGCAAGTTACTAGAACTGACTGGGCAAACTGAACATGTTTTTCCCTCTCAGCAAGAGACTAACTTTTGCAATATTGAATCACTATTTCCAAGTGATACTCAGACAGAATATGTCAAGACAATGTGCCTACTGATGGGGCCCATTACTGGAAATTCAATTTGCACATTTTTACAGTCAGGATTTGTTAGAATATATTTGAAATCCTTCTTAATGAGAGGCGAATTGGGCAGGGTTTGCTTCAGTTCCTCTGTGGTTCTCTGTGAGCAAAGCATTCCCTTGCCAGGGATGTTTTATCAACAATATACCTCAACAAACAACCTAAAAGGTAATACACTGGTATTCCAGTTCTGGACTCTTTGATTCAGAGCTGTTCTAGTTCTTCCTTGAGCTTTCCAGCATCACTCAATACCTAACACTCTCTTCACCGATCCTCACTATTTACTTTCTGAGCAGTGCAGATCACTGTTCCTCTTCTTCCTTTGCTTCTCTTCTAGATTCTAATCCTCTGCTTCCCAGCAATTTAAAAACAGTGGACAAAGTGGTCTGTTGCTTCCAGACACATGCTTGGTAGCCTGCTATGGTCAGAGGTGGCTTCTTCACTCTTAAAACTGGAACTCCTCAAAGAACTGAAGCTTGCTTGATTTCTTCCAGTCAATACCATGAGATGGCATTCTCAGATCATCATCTTTTTGCCCCACCAAAAGGTGTTTTAGAATCATAGAATACTTAGGGTTGGAAAGGACCTTAAGATCATCCCATGGGCAGGAACGCCTCACACTAGATCGTGTCACCCAAGGCCCTGTCCAACCTGGTCTTGAACACTGCCAGGGATGGAGCATTTACCACTTCTTTGGGCAACCCGTTCCAGTGCCTCACCACCCTCACAGTAAAGAACTTCTTCCTTATATCCAATCTAAACTTCCCCTGTTCAAGTTTTAAACCATTAGCCCTTGTCCTGTCACTCCAGTCCCTGATGATGAGCCCCTCTCCAGCGTCCTGGTAGACCCCCTTCAGATACTGGAAGGCTGCTATGAGGTCTCCACGCAGCCTTCTCTTCTCCAGGCTGAACAGCCCCAACTTTCTCAGCCTATCTTCATACAGGAGGTGCTCCAGTCCCCTGATCATCCTCGTGGCCTCCTCTGGACTTGCTCCAACAGCTCCATGTCTTTTTTATGCTGAGGACACCAGAACTCTCTCACGAGAGCAGAGTAGAGGGGCAGGATCACCTCCTTCAACCTGCTGGTCATGGTCCTTTTCAAGCAGCCCAGGATACAGTTGGTTTCTGGGCTGAAGCACACACTGAAGTAGTTCATGTTCAGTTTCTCACTGACCAACACCCCCAAGTCCTTCTCCACAGGGCTGCTCTGAATCACTTCTCTGCCCAACCTGTGCCTGGGATTGCCCTGTCTAAATCACTGAATAGTCCCACAGCACCCTCTGTTAAAATAGAGGAGTTATTTGATAGGAGAGTTCTGTGTGCTCCTGAGCAGACACTTTTTAACTCAACAATAAGAATTGCCAAATGAAACAGACAAAAATGTTGGTCAAACTTTCAGTGTAGGTACAAAAGTGTCAAAATCCAGATTCTTGTAGATTTGAACTGAAAGAATAAACCCATGTGCAAGTATTTCTGCAAGTTTTCTTCAGATAACAAACACACTAAACAATCTTCCCCACTCCATCTCGAGTTCACAGTCTGCCAAATGCTCAGAGCAACCTTACTAATCTTAGTGGCATTATAAAGAACCCAGACACAAATACACTGAACTGGAAAGCCAGTGTAGACAGAAGATGTATGGAAACATCATCATTTAAAGAAAAAAATGAAAGACATCTAGTAAAGAATGTTTGTTTTGGTTGTAATGAAATGAGATTGTATCTAAACATTTTGTGGATTTGGAATGCAGGAAGTATGTAAGCAGGATTTTGCCAAGTTTTATTTTTTTAATGACTTCTCTGTAGGAACTGATTAAAATCCATCATGTTGGAGCTTCTTCAGTGAGCTGCCTCAGACTTTATGAAAACACAGCATGAAAGACTATTATACAAGGGTGGTTTTTCCTGAAATCTCCAGCAGTCTAAGATAGTTAGGGATGTGATTTCAGACTATAGGATACTTTCTTACACTACCTAAAATATATTCTCACTGTTGAAGACAGAGTTCAAGGACTTGCCCCTATTATTTTAATGAGCTTTTGCTTAGTTTTGAAACTCCAGATGAATCCACTAATTCAGTTAAAAATGGGATGTGCTCCCACAGCTGACAGAAGTTTCTAAGCAAGTCAGACAAATATTTTATCTCTTAAATACAAGATGGGGAAAACTTCCAGCCCAAAGGAAATGACACACTCGGATGGAAGGCCAAGTTTTTTATGTTAACTTGTTCCTTATTGTCAGTTTTGTCTGTATGGGGTTACTTGCAATACCCTTCCATTACCACAGAAGTATATGAAGTATGAAGTATAACACCACTATTACTTAATTTTCTAGCAAGGGCAGTAAACCCATCCATCTGTGCACACCAACCATTTATTAGTGACCAGACAAAATGGCAGGTAACAAACACAACTTGCTTAGGAAAGGTGATTACTTAGGGAAGCAATAGACAATTTGTTCTTGTGTAAGAAAGTCAAGTTGTTCTTATGCAACTATAGAACTTGTTTCACTTCATTATTTCCAGCAGACCAAAAGAGGGAGCTAGTTTTGCTACTCTGTACAGTTTAGTGGGTTGCTCAGTACAGTAAGTTTACTCATTCATTACTATTTCTTGATATGAAGCCATCTAAGTAGAATTGTACAACTTGGCAGCCTGCAGCCATCTCTGCAACACCCTCATCCCCAACAAGAACCCACCAAATATGACATCCCTGTGACTTTAAAAGCTGTGTGAAGTTGCATTCTGGTCCATGTGTTGGTATGATCATACAATAGGCTAGCTCTTACCCTGCACTATCACCAGCATTTCCACCCAAATTTCCACAGTTGCCCCCTTCCTAAAGCTTTCCTGTCCTTAAAGGGGATTCACAGAAAACAGAACCTTAAGCCTCTTGCAATTTGACTGCTTTCAAACTTCTCAATCGCAAAGGCTCATCTGTCCTTACAGGAGCCACACCATCCCCTTTTATATGTGGGTGGAGTAGGAGCCACCTGCATCACACAGAGACTGAATCACCAACTCTTGCCCTCTAAAGACCTGGTGCATTATTATCTCATTGCAGCTCAGATAGTTATTGGAAAAGTTATTCAGCACTAAGTCACTTTGGGCTGCCAGTTCATTCTCCTGCAGATGCAAATACCAGATTTCTTTATGTTTAGAATAAAAGAAGATATATTTTTCTAGCTCACAGACTCACCCTCAACTCTACTTCTGCTTCATCAACAACAATTCAGATTCTTCAGACCAGTTTACACTCTGAGTTATACTTGCACAAACCTTTTGCCATCAGAATGTCTTACTAGCAAGTGTATGTCCCACAGAGCCTTTAGAAGTTTCTCTCAGGTGATGTCACGGGCACAGTAAGTGCTGAGAATGCTGCTGAGTAAAGTGAAGAATACAAATGAAGCTGTGACACTCTCTGGAAAGAAAAGGAGAGTGTTAGTATGAATTAAGTGAGAAAACTGAAATGCCAAATCTCAACTGTTATTATTAGGGCTACTTTACAGAAGAAAACTGTGGTTTAAAAGTGCACTTGTCATACATCAAGTAATAGCGAAATGGGGTTTGAAGTACAAATGACACAAAGGCTTTGGAATAGTAAATGTCAGCATTTTCAGGTGGATGTGGAAAGTGTGTACACAAATACTACAACAGTGAGGAGAAGCATGAGTTAGAACTGACGAGGCAGAGGGACACTGCTGTCTTTTGTGAAGACTGACAGTTTAGCTTCTAAAATGTGATGGAGATTAAATGCCAGTTTATGGTCATGCAAAAAGAAATTACTTTGTGGAAGTGCACTAACATCCTGTTGCTATGAATTACCTTTCTTGGTATCTGTACCCAAAACCTGAATTAGAACATATAAACTTTAAACCTCAAAGCCTGTTTAGTTTTAATTTAAAAAGCAAAATAACAAACATATATGAAGAACACCCTAAACCAGTGACTAATAATTCCACGCTCAAAGGCATTTCTGAAACATGCTTTTTAAAACAAGTCCAAGAGCTATTGGAGCTATGCAACTGCAGCAGGTGTTACGCAGGGAAGGAACAGCATAGTGCTGGGTCCAGGTAAAATGATACATTCTCCACCTGAACAGGAAGAAGTAGAATCTACAGTTCATTTGTAAAACAGGTAAAGTGAGGGACATTTCTTTAGCTCAAGAACAGAGTCCACCATAGAGAATTAATTCAAATAAGGTCTCTGAATTAAAAAATGTAATAAAGGAGCTCTTTCCTCCATGTTCTCGGCCTGGTGATGTATGTTGTCTGACAATTTAATTTGCACTAGCAAGAACTGGGCAGCAGAATCTTGGTTCGACCCCATTACAGCCCCAGTGTCAATGAAATAGTGCTCAATACTGACAGCCTGAATGAGTTCAATAATTTGTAGAGAGACAAAGAAGTACAGAGAGCGAAGGAGGAGCTCTTAAAGAAACACTGCTATTGAGCTGTCTGGAATTTTAGCCAAACCCAATTAGTAAAGATAGATTTCTATACAGGGAATGGTGAAATTTGCTAGTCTGCAACATCCAGACATCTGAAGCATGCAGTGAATATAACTTGTACTCTCCAAAACATATGATTTTGTTCTGGAAAGACTGTCCACAGAGCAATGTGTCATCTGCTCCTTAGTCCCTCCACTGACACCCCTGTGAAGTGTACCAGTAGGTCAGTTGTGATAGTCTAGCTGTAACTTGGCCTCTTCGCAGCCTACAAGTGGATTTAGATCATTGGCTATCTCTGCAGCTCTTGAAACTCTTAGAAAGTTGGGCACGTAGCTAAATACACAGATTCTTACTCTCCTAGTTAATGCATGAACCTGAAACCCTACAAAATCTTTATTTGCAGACTAATCCTCTGCAGCATTTGATCCCTCAAAGACAAATTTTTGCCTCCTTTCTCCATTTAGGAGAATTATCTCCTACTTGCCCTTCAGCACGCTCTTCACTCCACCTTTTGCTCACTTCATACCTGAAAAAGCTTGATGAAACCCCACTTTGAAACTATTCCCTCAGAGCAGTGCATCTGTGAGGAGGATGCACAATTGCAATTCACTTCAGTGCAATGCTACCCAAGAACAAGCAAAACAAAATCAGAGATTTTTCCTAATGGAACATGGTATTTTAGGCTATGTTCAGTGCTCCCCACTGTCCTACATAGACAACTATCTCTCTTTATGCCCTAATTATTTCTAAACTTAGGTCTGAATCCTCTTACTCATTTGAATGGGAGATAGATGCCTAAACACCTTTTTTTAGAATCTAGGTCTGGTTTGTAAGACTTCACTCTTCAATTTTTTGTTACCCAACTGCAAACTCCAGCTTTGTCAACCTTTTTTTGTATCACATCCACTGTCCATTTAGCTGTCTTCATAAAAGGATCTTTTAAATTTATCTCCAGCTTCCACATTCGTGAATAAATGACCCCCTCGTTAGCCAGGATCACTTCACCTTGCGCTTTGTGATTCAGAAAGCCTCAGTATAAAAGGTATTTGCGCTTCTCTAACTGCTCCACCCCCCCATGCTTCAAAGATTAAATGAATCACAAGAGCAGACAGGATTTTGGCTTGTGTTCTTGGTCTTATGTCTAATACTGAGTGTGTTTTTTTTAGTCTCATATTCACAGCTTTTAAAGCAGTGCCTGTAGCGTAGTGATGTGAGCAGGAAAACTCTGGAATAGCAGTTTGTGTTCACTCTAATAAGAGATGTTATACATGTCCAAGATATTTCAGTTTTATAAAATAAGTGAATGTATGCTCCCTGCTTACTCTGTTGCATCAAAAGTGTCCCAGTGATTTCTAACCTCTGTAGGTTCAGGTAATCAAGCACAACTTTCATAAGTAGACCCTGTAGATTCCTGAGGTACAAACAGCAAAGACCAGGCAGGTCAGGATGGCACTGTTGGCTTAGCCCACAGATTTAAGCTGATATATTGAACCTGATTTAAACAACTGAAGAGTTTAGATGCCAGACTAGTAATCTGAATCCCCACATGGGAATTTGAATCTTCCACATGGAAGTGCTGCACAAATAGAAAAAAGTCTCCAGATTTTCTTTGTAATATTAGCACTGGATTTCACAAATACAAGAAGAAATGATCATTTTGCATCACAGCAAAGAACTGACTTCCCCCATAGAAAATAACTGATTTAGCATGGAAGAGAGTAAACTGACTACAGTCTGAAAAGTGGTATTGAATGCACACATCAACAAGAAAACAAAGATACACTAGTTTAATGTGAGTGTATTTATAGTAAAGCTGGTTAAAAAGCATAGATTAAGAGCCTGTTAAATCTAGTGGGCAATTCAGAATGTTACTTTTTTAACCCCTATAGGTAAAGCTTAATGTTAGATACTGACATCTTGTAAAGACTGTGTATCTCTTTGTATTCCATACAGTTACAGCATGGAAATAATCAGCAATGCCCAAAATTGTGGTCTTGCTTTGACACTGACAAACTTTGTGGGTCTGGAAAAGAAGTTTAAGCTCTCTGCCACTGCATCCATATTGGTAAAAGATGTTTTATCTTGACTGTACAGCACACTTGGACTGCTGAGAAATGCAATGGAATAATGCAGAATTAAGCCAGTTCCATTAAGTAGACAGTGCAGGAACTGATTAAGACAGTGAATCCCACACAAGCCTAAAACTATGACACTTTATAAAATATTTCATTTAAATCCAGGAGTTAAAAACTGACTTTAAATTTGATGTATGGGGGTGGAATGAAAGATGTCAAAATTGAAATGTCTGAGGCAGACTCAAAACTGAAAAGAAGAGAAAGAGAGGGGAGAGGGAACAGAGCAGTATTACAGGTATTACAAACTCTGTATTTATTTCTGGAATGAAAAAGAAAGCAACACCTATTGATTTGGGGTTTATTTTCCAGCAGAGATCCCCTTTTCCTGAGCTGCCAGACAAACCAGTGTACCGAAGCACTATTTCCTACTTATGCCATTGTAGCTCTTTTTCTTAGACTGGGGGAAATGGAGAAATTAATTGCATGAAGCACATATCTAAACAAAAGTTACCAAGTTTTCTTTTTCTCCCTACTTACTCATGTTTCCATTTGTTTCTTTCCCTTTCCATTCTCCTTCCCTCTTTTTTCCCTCTATTTGAGTTTCCTTCAGTTGACATGTTGGGTTTTTTCCTTTATTCTACTTCCTCTGCTTTTCTTTATTTAGCATAAAAATACTTACATAGATGGCTCTTTTTTTTTTCCCCTTCTTGTCTGAAAAATCTTTCCAGTTTCTCCAACCTTTTCTAATCCCTCCTTCATTCCTCGGCGCTTTTCTACTGCCCATTCCCCACACCACTACAGAATCATGTTCTGCACTTGGTGACCTTCCCCTCCTTCCCTGCAGCTACCACATTTTTCTTTGGAACTACTGGTTTGATTCTAACTTTTCTTCCTGTAGGGCTTAAATGTTTCTCCCTTCCTTTGTATCATCTGTTTTGTTTGCCACACCCAAATTCAAATCCCTCTTCCACTTTCACCTCTCCATGCTAGTCTCTTTTGTCTTCTCTTCTTTGCTATCAACTGCAAACATATCCCACTCTCCCCCAGCGATGCTTCAGCAGCCAGTGCCTGTCTCACTTCTTCCAGGAGTTAGAGCTTGTTACAGGTGTTTCCCTGTCATTAACTCTGCCAGTTGTGTCAGTTCAGCTCACTTTGCCATGGATATGGCCATCAGCCACCACGTAAGTGCTGTCTCAACCATCACACACCCCACAAATTTTCATCACTGCTGTAAGTCACAGGTTCCTTTAACTGTTATGAAATGTCATGAGACGTGAGCATCCCAAATGCCACTAGTTGCATTGCAGCTGCCATGGGTGTCTCCTTAGTTCTGGCAACATAGGTTTTTTGTAAATGAACTAGCTATGTAGTTACATACTCTGACTGTACCCAAAGACCAGTGGTTTAAAATGCTATTCTGTGAAAGCTCTGCCTGCTGCTATCATTGCTACATCTCTTCCTAGTACCATGATGAACTGCAGTCAGCTTCTTAATATGAAGCCAAATATTCCCTGTTCATATGAGGGATGCCTGGGCCTGCACACTTGTCATGAATTCACTCAGTGAAAGATGCTCTTTCATTCCCCTTTTTCAGCACTTAATGGATGAAGAACTATTTTTTAGCAGAATAAATAACAGTAAGAGGGCATTTAAAATGTCAGGTGTCATATTTCTTCTTGCTGATCACCTGTTATCTCTGACTGTTGTCAAACAAAAGATACCGAGGAAATCCATTACAAGAATCTCTTCCAGATGCAGCTCGATTTATGGCCATGATGATTATGACAAAAAATCCGTATGTTTGCATATCTCACCAGTGTATAATTCATGCCACTTTGGAGTATTCTTTCTCCACACTGCTTTACTGAGTTTTCCTGCAGACTCCACGTTGCTGTATTGTGTGTGGGGTTGTCCCTTTGTCTTCCCTGATGTTAAAGAAAAAAAAAGAAAGGATAAAACAATCATAATACCTTTTGTTGGATACAGAACAAAGCACTGGAACTAGAGGTGCTTACGAATCAGTGACATTTTGGTGTGCGTAAAGAAACAAATGAGTTGAACTGAAAAACCCATTTACCATTTCCGAGATATATTTTAAGAGTGGAAATAAGGAGTTAAATCTGTTGTGGAATTGGAGAATATAAACTAAAAGAGGGAGTGCTGCTTCTCTACCTTTGTTGGCATTGCCTATACTGATACTGGTTTTCCCATTCAAAGTAATTATTTACAACTGCCTGAAACTGAACATTTCAGTTTGTTTGGTTCCCTCCCCTATTTTCTCTCCATTTGAACTCTTCCACGTTTAAACTAGAGATTCTTCATACAGGGGAGCTACATGAGTTTTTTTCATCAGGGAAGTTTCTAACCATTAATTTGCCTGCTAAAGGGAACTGTTCACTGTGGTAGAAAAGGAATTCTTTCTTGCTCTGGGTAGGTTACACTTAAGGCTGAGCTAAATATGTAAAAAGATTCACTTTAAAGGCTGACCTTCTTATTAAAAAAATACTGTTTGTCCAATTAATATATATGAAATAATTTACCCTGGGTTTTTTCAGCAACTCCATGTTAGAACAATGAAAATTTAACAAAAGACTGCACACGTGCATCTGTAAGAGCTAGAAGGAAGGAGTCTTCCCTGCTCAGACAGGGAGCTCTGCCCTCCGAGCTGTGTAAACACCATAAAGAGTAGCACCATAAAATGCTTAGGGTCACAGGGCGGACAGCTTGGGGCATCTGGAGAACAGCTCTCCGGGCATTGGCGCGCAAGGAAGCAGGTTGTTACGACATGAAGATAAACCTGTGGACTGCAGACTACCAGGTCACTGCTGTATCACTGCTGTACACGTCACCAAGGCGCGTACCGCTCAGTGAACCTCTCTGCACTCAGACAATGGCTCCCGCTGCATTGTCTCCAGCTGCTGGGTTTGAATGTTGCTCATTTGCGTCACACGAATGAGTGAGATCTGCACACCCTGCCCTGCCTGATCCCCGTCCACCCTCACGGGTGGACACCGACTCCATCTCCCACCACCCGTCTGCCAGACACTACCGGTTGGTTCTCATTGACCCGCAGATGGCTTCGGCGCCGGCGAAATCCCAGGAGACGCCGCACTGAACGCCTCATGCTCCAGCTGCGGCCTAGCATTGCGGTGCCTCTGCCCGAGGGTCACCTGCCGCCACCCCACCTCGCCCGCTGAACAAAGGCACGGGGCGAGCCTCAGTGTGCACCGAGGGCTCTTCCAGCACCAAACCAGCCACGGAGGGAGGAGAAGGGGCTCGGGGGCAGCCGTAACTATCGCCCTCACAGCGGGGCTGGCGGGCAGCGCGGTGAGGTGAGGCGGCCGGCGGCTCTCAGGGCGGGAACAGCTCCCGTCAGAGCCCCGCTCGGGGCGGGGGGGCTGGAAGGCGATCCCCTCCTCTCCGCTTCCTTTCCGCGGTGTGTGACCAAAGCCCCGCCGCCCGGGTGACAGCGGGCAGCAGCTCACGGCCGGGCAATGCCAGGAGCAGAGCGCGGCCATGACCCGGTACCGGCCGCTCCCGCCCCGCTCCCCTCAGCCGCGGTAGCGCGGGAAGCTCCAAGACCTCCCGCCCCGCCCCGCCCCTCCCCTCCTAGGCCCCGCCCCCGCCCGCAGAGCACGTGGCACCCTCGCCTGTGACGGTCACGTGACGCGGGTTTCCCCCCCTCCCCTCCCGCGCCTGACCCGGGCTCCCGTCTGGTCAATAGCGGGCGGCGGAGGCGCATGCGCGGAAGGGCCGCAGCACACCCCCGCTCCGCTCTGCCCCCCCCGCCCCGCAGCCCGTCTCCCTCCGCCCCACATAAGGCGGCGCGGCGGGGTCCGGGCTGCGCTCGGTGCGCGGCGGTTCCGCGCGGCCTCCTCCTGCCTCAGGCACAGCCCCTCGGCCCGGCCGCGCCGCCGCCATGAGCTCGGGGACGCCGTACATCGGCAGCAAGATCAGCCTGATCTCCAAGGCGCAGATCCGCTATGAGGGCATCCTCTACACCATCGACACCGAGAACTCCACCGTGGCGCTGGCCAAGGGTGAGGCGGCTGCGGGGGGGGGGGTGCGGGCAGGCCTAGGCTGGCTCTGGCGCCGTGGCCCGCGGCTCGCTGAGGGGACGCGGGGAGCCCCCGCCTCCCGCCGCGCCTCGCCTCGCCTGCCGTCTCCGTGCCCTGAACAATGAGCCCGGCCTGGGCGAGCGGCGGCCAGAGCCCGCCCGCCTTGAGCGGCTGTGGCGGGGCCTGGGGCTCATCCCGCGCTTGCGGCCCGAGCCTGGGGGTGGTGGGGCCGGAGCCCCGCGCTTTCGGCGCTGCTGCCTTTCCGTGAGTCAGCATCTGCGAGGCCCCTCCGCGATGCGGGGCCGAGCACGGGGGCTTGCGGTGCCTCGCAGGGCCCGCGGGGTTCTTGGTTGTCACAGGCAGTTGCCATCCGTCTGATGCAGAAGGGCTGCCAGCAATGCCGGCTTCTGTTGCTATTGTCAGCGCCAGGAAGGTGATGGTTTGTGCGGCTGCTCGTGGTTTAGCTCCCCTTCCCTGTCTGTGCATGGATGCCCGGCAGTGTGTCGGTGGTCGGCTCCAGCAGGGCCACAGGCCAGCGCCGGGGAAGACGGAGTTGCTGTCGATGTGCCTTTGTTCCTTTCGGGATCAATAACTGGACTCTGCTCCGGTGGAGAGGCTGAGAGCTGGTGTGCAGAACGTTGTGGGCATCCGCACGTGGGTCTGGCGCTTCCTACCCTGCAGGCTGCTCATCAAAGCTTTGCATCTTGTTTCCCTATAGAAATGGTGATCCTTATCTTCTGCTTAAATGGTGTCATTTGGATTCAGTTGTCACTTGTGTTGAGAACTGCTGTATTTACTCTTAGAAAAGCCTGCCCTATCTTGTGTAGTCTCTCAGATAAGATCTTGTTTCTGCACTGCTTTTAATGTCCAGCTTGGCTACTCCAGCTAATGTTCATCAGCTTTCTCCCTGTGTTTTATTCTTCCCTGTTCCGGGAAGTTAACACCTTCTTCGTTCTGTGTTGCCTTCAACAACCCATCAGGATTGTCCACAAACAAAGCATCTTTTGTTTTGAAACATTATCTGTTGGCTGCAGACACTGACTTGCTTGATTCTCAGCTATCCTGAAGGCAGCCTGTGCCACAGTATTTATGCAGTATAATGGCATTTATGTGATGCAGGTTATTATTTGACACCTATTAGTGTGTATTCTGAAGTTAAAAATGTAAGCTTTAACAAATTCCCTTTTCCACCCCCCTAAGGGCTTAGCTGTTTATTTAACTGTATAAACAGAGCTATTTCTGTTAGTGTTCCACTCAAAGCAAGCGAGAGGTTGTCATTCCTCTACTCTGTGCAAGGAGGTCTTCACCTTTACCCAGCAGCAAGTAGAAATGGTTTCTCATAGCTTCAGCTCTTGCTACTTCAGAGCTTCAGTGGTGTTTCAAAGGCAGATATGCTTGAAGTGCTTTTTGACGTGAGAAAGCACATGCTCTGTGTAAGATTTCTGCTAGTTTTTGTGTTTATTGCTCTCTTAATGTTCAGTTTTGATTAACTGGCATGCCTAAGGAGTAATAGTTACAAATAGGTAGAGAATGAATACATTGTTTTGCTCACTCAAAGTGCTGCTCTAAACTTCACAGGACAAACCCTGCTTTTCGCTTTAGCTCAGTGGGGTTTTTAATTTTGATATCGTCTCTAAATTTAATGTCAGAATTAGGAACACAACAACGTTAAAGTTGGTGACAGCAAAATTAACTCTGTGATCAACGGGGGACAGTGGTTTAATACACTTGATCTCTGAAGGATTAGAAGAACCATGTATTGCTGACATGCAGCTGAAGCTGTCCAGATAACTAGTAAATCATTATTAAGCCCCAGTTGCAAGTGTTTAAGGCTCAGACAACCTCATTGTGTAATGTTAATGCTGTTCTCTTGACTTCCATCACCCAAGTGATGTAAAGAAAAAATTAGGTTGAAAGAGACCTCAGGAAGGAGTCTGGTTCAGCCTCTTACTAGAAGCAGGGATAACTTCAATTGATCTTGTATTTGGTTCCTGTTGAATCTCGACACATGCACAATGTCTTAAACGCTGGCTAAGGAGATTCCATGTGCTTAATTAAGTTCAGCATCTAACAAGACACACATTTCTTGCAGTGCTTAAATTGCAAACAAAGGAGGTTTAAGCCCATTACTGTCCTGTTGGCAGTGAACACCAGAAGTGTCCTCCCCCTTCTGTAGAAGTCTGAAGAATCTGGAACTTTTAAGAAATAACCCCAAGCTCTGCCTTCTAGATAGCCAGTTGCCTTTGTTATGCTTCCTGAACCTTCAGAGGTCTCCTCAACAGAGCCCTGCACATGAGTACAAACTCTATGATAAAACACGAGCTGCAGCGTGGTGTGGGATTGATTTCCTGCTCATCTGTAAACAATAGTTGCTGTAACCCTTCATGGGATACAGCCTTTCAGACCCCCACAGGAGCTTAAAGCTGTACTTTGTGATGTGCTAGAAATAGTCAAACCCTTCAAATGCAGTGGCGTGCAGGCTCAACTCCTCCAGCCATCTGAAATGCCCTCACTGTTGTTTTGGTTACATGGACACAAGTTATCCTCCTTTTTAGTTAGAAACCTTGGGACCAGCCAGTTTACAGCTGTAAAGCTGTAACAGCTTTTGGCTCTGCCAGTCGTGTGTTTCTCTGTGGAAGCTGACAGGATGATCCCAATGCTCAGAGAAGATGTGGTGCTTTCCAAACTATCCATGGGATTATGCAGTAGTCCCTGCATAGCTTTAGTAGTCTTGCCATGAGCTATGTGCTGTAGGAATCTAATCTTGAGCAGCAGTATCAGTGGTATGGTTCATGTTTAAAAGGCCACAAGCATTGCTGTCAGTTTATAATCTGCTTTTGGCTGACTAGGTTACAGCTGTAATATGATCAAGCAACAGCTGGAGATCTAAAATAACTTGGAGAGGTTCTGTACCCTAGGAACCAAAGGAAGACAGTCATTCAGAGGAAGTGACTGACAGCTTGTCCTCGTACCAGTTACAGTTCCCTTCCAGTTGGGTGTAAGCCTAGGTGCTAAACGGCATCAGCATGATAGAGACAAAGTTTAGCATTGATCTGCTGTCCCTGGAGCTTGCTGTTGCTTGGGAGCTCACAGATAAGTTGCACAGAGGTGATGACTACTTGCAGCACTGACTGCTGCTTGGTGGGGATACAGCTTTTCATCTCGAAAAACAGGACTTTTGATGAGTAGCCCTGACCAACTGTTAACACTCCTAGTAAGTTAACAACAGTATAGTATACTGGGGATGCTCAACATGGGAGTTGAGTGGATCCCCTTTTTGTTGCCCTTTTTCTGGGAAGGCTGTGATGCCCCCCATCCCCTGTAATGTCCCAGTCTGTGTGACAGGGCTGTCTGCTTATCGCTTCCTATCTGTGCAGTGGAAGCTGCAGCAGGCTGGCCCATCTGCCTGTGCCATGGGCAGGGGCCTGTGAAAGGTCTGTAATGGGTAAAAGTACTGCAGGAATTGTGGCATGTCCTGGCAGAGAGGGGGAGCACTCAGTGGTAACCTGGTAGAAGCAATTGATGCAACTCCAATACAGAATTCTTCTGTTGGCAGAAAACATACATCAAACCAGAATGTGCTGGTGCTAATCTGAACTGGCAAAGCCTCATGAAGACAGAAACCAACTAGATTGGTAACTTTGAGCTTCTGTAACTTGTGGCTGAAATTTCAAGCTTCCATATGTCTGTGTCTCATGTAACTGCTACCTGTTCTCCTCCACTAACAATCCAGTGAGTCTGACCTCTTTTTAATGGTTCAGGTTAATTTATGCTTCTAGCTGGTAGCTGCCACACAGTCAATTGCAGCTTGTCTTCCACTCTAATGTATAACATCACTGGCTAGTACCTGGTCAGGTGTTGTGATACCTGGGACTGAGTAAAGCCTTTGTAGGCACTGAGGGTTTAGATTTATCGCTGAGCTTGCTTTGTAGTCAGTGGCATGGGGAAGAGAGAGAATTTGAGTAGGAACTTCTTGTCATTGATCAAATTTACCTCCATCTGTATAATAAATATGTGAAACCGAAGATGCAAACTTGAGCTCTAACTTTTCCCCTCCTCCTTCAGGGGCCTCTGCCATGGTCTGTTGTAGCGGCAGTTGTCTTGGGCTGAATGCCTGCATGGGGCAGGTGCTGGGGAGGGAAGGGGAATGGGGCAGTGCAGTGCTGTGGGGAAGCTCTCAGTTCTGGAGCAAGATGCTTTACTCCAGTGGTCTTTGGTCTTTACTTTCAGAGCTTGGTGTAAACGAAAGTGTTTGTACAGGCTGCTGCAGGAGTTGATGTTTAAGGAAACTGATGTGTGTGATGAGATTCAGGGGTCTGGAGGTAACCTTTTTGTTGTTGAAATTGGTAGATATTACAATATTACTTTTTAATTGCATAAATCTTCACTGGAGCAATGCTGTGATGGTGATACTGGACTAATAGTGATCTTCTTGCCGCTCAAGTGCGATCCTTCGGTACTGAAGACCGGCCCACAGACAGACCTGCTCCTCCCAGAGAAGAAATCTATGAATACATCATTTTTCGGGGCAGTGACATCAAAGACATCACTGTCTGTGAACCTCCAAAAGCTCAGCATACTCTGCCACAAGATCCTGCCATTGTTCAAGTAAGTTAGTGTGAAGTGTTAATAGAAAGCTGTGATAAAACATTGGTGCTGAAGGACTGGATTTTGGTATGAACTGATAGAAAATAAAGGCCGTTAAGTGTCTCTAGGAATCTTCAGATTGTTTGAAGCCTCCTGAATGTCATTAATGCTGCTATCTTAAACATTACAAAGACTTCAGTCAATAAAAGCCAGAGCTAGCTGAGAATGCAGAAAAAATCATAAAGAGGTTAAAATAATGCTTTCAGTATTTACTTAAGCTTTAGTAATGCTGTGTATGAAGTAGAAAATCACTGCCAAAGCAAGTTGACTTCTGGACACTGTAAATGGAAATGTACTTTGTCTTGTTACAGTCTTCACTGGGCTCTGCCTCTACATCATCCTTTCAGCCACATGTGCCTTACAGCCCGTTTAGAGGTATGCCACCTTACAGCCAGCTTGCAGCCAGCTCTTTACTTAGCCAGCAGTATGCAGCTTCATTAGGTTTAGGTAAGTAAAAACTTTACTTGCTAGAGTAAAGGTCTGATCCTTGTATGCAGCTACTGTGAAGTGAAATAAAACTAACCCAGACGTCCTGCCAAGTGTTAGGCTGTAACCATCAGTGAATAAGTAGTTAACTTTGTGCAATGATCTTCCTGCATGGAGGCCTGTGTTTCACTTACACATGCATGCACACACACACACAAGAAACAAACTAGATAGCTGAACTTTCCTTCTGGGAGTAATGTGGACACCTAACAGTTGAGGCCAGCTCATTTCTAACCTACCATACCTTACATATCCATCACATGTAAAAAGATCTTGAATTCCTAGAGAGGACTGTAAATAAGACACTCTAATGCTGTTCTAGAGATTCTTGTATCTCTTCCCAAGTCCTTCAGATGTTTCACTACCTGGTGTCTTATCCATGTATCTTTGCTTTCTCTTCTTCCCTCTATCTCTTTAGAGAAATTGGTAAGCCCTCCAGCATCAGCAGCTGCTTCCAGTCCTAGTTCTTCTCCGTCTCCACAACCTGTCTCAGAGCCTGACATGTCTTCAGAGCCCCATCAGCTCTCTTCCAAGGGTAACAGCAGTTTGAGGACTCCAAATATTTGGAAGAACTGCATGGCACTTGCAAACACTCTGTTCTTGTTAACCCCTCCTAGAATTATAGTACTTGTGTGGGTAATGCTAGTGAAACTAGTTTGTTTTCAGGGTTTTTTGCCTTTCATTATATGAAGTATTCCTCCTGTCCCAGAAGTATCAATTAGACAGGAGAAAGCACAGGACAGTGGATCCTCTTGTGTAAGTATGAGGAGGGGGCTGAGGTTCAGGGATGTTAACATGTTGCATCCTATTCAGGAACGTATGTCACTGTAGGGACTGAGTGAGGAATTTGCCTTTGCTTGGAAGACAAACACTGCTGAAGTTGTGGGTGGCCTTTCTGTTGGAGACCTAGGCTAATAGAAGGTTCAGGAGTATTGCTGTAGTCGATGAAATGTCAGGGTAAATTTCATGCATGATGGGGCATTGTACCTTATCAAGACTCCTGATTAGCAAAGCATGACTAGCAGTAAGTGGTTTGAGTTGCGGTAAGGCTGAGATGACAGTGCTGGGGCCTTGCTTCTGTGTGTGAGAACTTAAAGGTTGAGTAGAGGTACTAGACTGACCATCCTCAAAGCAGAGGGACCAGGTGCAGCCTGCATTTAAACATGGTAATGAGTTTCTTCTGTTTTGAACTGGAGCATGTATGCTTGTGTTGGCATGGAACTGGTTTTGCCCATCTCTGTACCTACTCTCAGTATTCTGGCAAAGCTTTGAAACTTTGTTAAACTTGCACAGCAGCTTTGTCCTATTGAATAATCCTTAGGATAAGTCTGTCTTCCTTGCAAGTTTTCCAGATGTACACTAACTGGGAACCTGCATGATGTTAACTACTGGGTATATCTCATGTGGACTTGAGTAACCCAGCAGTGTCAGTGCCTTGGTTTGTACTCTTCAGCTTTTCACTTTCCTTGCTCTAATTCAGAGTTTGCTTCCAAACAGCTTTTATGTATAACTGCACAACCCTGCAGTACTCCAGAACTTCTGATTAAACCTAGACTGCAGTGTTTCTTCTGAGTACTAAAAGCTGTCACTTTGTAAGGTATCCCCAAACCAAGTATTTACATGTTTCGTAGCGTGAATAAATAAGCCTGGATGGAAGAGCAACAGAAGTCTTGGTAACACTTGGGCCTTGACCAAGAAGGAATTTAAAAGGGTAACTTTGAGATCCTGGTCTGGTTTCAGGTTTTCTTTGTCTGAAAGTTAACAATAAGCAATGAAGTTGAAAGACTTCTAAAAGCAGCTTCCAAAATGAGATATAGTTGAGGTGGTTGTGCTTTTGCTGCTAAACTTTTTTAACAAAGCAGGGCAGCTTTCTTGAGCAATTTCAAAATAATGCATTTTTTTGCTTCAGATTTCAAGTATTGTGTACATGAAATCCTACATATCCGAAGGTACACCTAGAAATGAGGTTTTGGTATAAATTGACAAAGAGACTGACCTGGCTTGCTTATCTAATGTGTGTCTATCTCTTCTGAAGAAATAAATGGGTAGATTTCCTGATTTTTAAGCTCTGCCTTGGAGGGCTATGACTTGTAGTGCCTTCCCTGGTGTATATGCCACTTAAATGATGAACAGTCGAGGCTTTGAGTAAGTGGTGACAAAACGGTTTCTCCATAGCAGCGGGTAGGGTTTGGGTAACGTTGGCCCATGCTGAGAGGCACTGGGTCACTGGGATCTCTTCCAGGTGCTGGTTTTCCTTCTGTTCACCCGGTCCGCAAAAGCCCCATGGTGGAACAGGCTGTCCAGACCGGGCCGGTGGACAACATGAATTCACAAAAGCCACCCCCAGTGAAAGTCAACCCCGGGGTTCAGCGCAACGGGAGGCAGGTTCCCCAGGGCAGCACTAAGGCAAATGGTACGTACACATCACTGCTTCCTTAACGTGCTGTTCTGAAACAGCCTCCAAAGCTGCAGGACTGAGCAGCTTGGGGTTTCATTGTTTGCTCCTTCATTGAGTTTATCCTTCTTGTCCAGTAGATACAGTTCAGGCAGCACCTGTGCAAACTCAAGGGCAGGTGAATGATGAGAACAGAAGACCTCAAAGGAGAAGATCGGGTAGGTTAACCTGGCACTGAGCAGGTGTGTTGATCTGTAAAGGCAAGTATTGTGAGCTTCAGTCAAGGGTTGTTGGACAAAAGATGGAGAGCAAAGCTTAATGAGACATTGGGCATCCAGAGATGCTTCCCTACCAAAATTGGTTCTGGAGTCACAGTGGTTCAGAACATTCCAGGGACAGAATTCCTTAGAGATTTGAAGTATGTTATAAAAGTTGGTACCACGAGTTGGCAGTGACAGTTGGATTTTGCTGGGTCCTGAAGGGTTGTTACTGGGAAGGGGCAGCTTGCTGAGAATTCATAGAGCTGTTGGAAGTGAGAGGAACTATGGAGCCCTTGCTTCCATCGGGGCTGCAGCTTAAGCACAGATCAAAAGACAGTGAAATTGAGTTCAAACAGCTATTTCTGCCCAAGCAATATGAGGAGGGGAAAAAAGGGAGGGGGGTAGAGGGGAAAAGGCAGAAAACAAAACTTCAACCTTTGAATTGCTTTGCCTGAGGGCAGCCCTGTAGAAAGGAGTTGATGGCCCCAGGTGGAAACCAGCAACAATAGAGAGTACAAGCTTCCTTTGTGGGTAGGTGAATCTGGGGTGGGTGTTCCAAAACCAGTGACCTGCATCTCTTTTGCCATTATGACAGGTTTGTAGAGTACTTACAGTGCCCTGCTTGCAGATGAGTAGCAGACAGGAAGGGCAGTTTCCCCTGCTTCCCTCCTTGTTCCATGGTATAGTACTTGTTCTTATTTCCCCTCCTCACACTGGAAGGAGCGTTGAGTGTATTCTGTCTTAACCATTAAGACTACCATCTAGGAATGCTTTTCAGACAGTTAAAGTCTTGCTGTAATGTGTCTCCTACAGCCAAGTTGAGAAGTTACTTTCAAAGAGGTGTGGCCTAACCACAGGACTGGAAGCCAGAACCTCCTGAGTTCTAACCCAGGTTTCCTCTGGTCTTGAGCAAGTCATTTAACCCCCCTGTGCGTTACCCAGTGTTTAAACTCTCCTGCTTTCAGGAAACAGGAGAACCAGAAACCGTTCTAGAGGCCAAAACAGACCAACTACTGTGAAGGAAAATACAATAAAGTTTGAAGGTGACTTTGACTTTGAAAGTGCAAATGCACAATTCAACCGAGAGGAACTTGATAAAGAATTCAAGAAGAAACTGAACTTTAAAGGTTTGTGACTTCATTAAATATGAATTGCTGAGCTAGTAGTAAACGCTACCTAGAGAAACTCGTGCTGAGAAACTGCATGGTTACATCTGAAATCTTGTTTGAGGGAGCAAGAGAACAGATGGCTCTTCAGTATGCACCAAGGAAGTGTAATACGCTTTATTATCTTCAGATGACAAAGCAGAGACGGGGGAAGAAAAAGGGGACCCTGGAGTGGCAACTCAAAACAATGATGGCAGTGCAGAGGAGGACCTTCTGGGGCCCAACTGCTACTATGATAAATCCAAGTCTTTCTTTGACAACATTTCCTCAGAGCTGAAGTCTAGGTGAGTGTTCCCTAAAAGGCTGCTGGGTTTTAAAGCAATTTTAGGCCTAGAATTCTAGGCAGAATCTATGTCGCTTGGTTTAGCTCTTTGTAGAGTACAAGGAAATGAGCAAAAAGGAGTACTGCTGTGCAGTTGGTGGCTCACAAGTGATAGTACCAAGCTTCATGCAGTGGGATCAAGCAAAAAGCAAGGATTTCCACTGACAGACTTGCCTAAACTCTGATACAGGAATTTCCAGTTCTGTTTCCCAGTACTGGCTTTGAACCTGTTGATTTTTAAATGAATTTCTTATCTCAGTTGTGGGAGGAGGCATCAGGGTCAGGCTGTGCTAGAGGTGGAGCAGCCTGCAGACAGGAGCTGGGGCAGAGCGGAGGCCAGCTCTGTCTCTGGAGATGCATTAAGTTAAACGTTGGGGATGTTAAACAAAAGCTTCATCTTTGGCTGCTGATGGTATCGCCTGCCTGGAGAAGTCAGGCATCCTTGGGGTGTCAGGATGTGGAATTCCCTTGGTGTAAGGCTTGTGTTTCCCTTCAGCAAAGCTTTCCTCTGAGTGTGTACTCCAAGGTGCTGAGGGCAGGGCGGGCTCTGCTGAGGAAGAAACACACCAGTGCTGTGGGGCTGCCTCAGTAGCAGTCACAGAACTGCTCCTAAGATCATGTTCAACCCTTTCTTAGGCCCAGGTTTGGTTTTCCAGTATGACAGTGGCTTACAAAAGCCAATAGCTGCCAATTGCAAACCCACGCTTTGCAGAGGAATTGAGTTGGTGACTTCGGTTCTTGCTGCCGTGCAGTTGAACAACCCGGGGGGTGAGAGGCTTCCTGCCGGGTGAGTGGTGGCAGTCGCTGTCGGCGTCAGACCTGACCGCGGTGTGGTTCAGTTCCAGGCGCACCACGTGGGCTGAGGAGAGGAAGCTCAACACGGAGACGTTCGGAGTGTCCGGCCGCTTCCTCCGTGGCCGCAGCTTTCGCGGTGGCTTTCGAGGTGGAAGGGGCAGCGGCGCGGCGAGGCGGAACCAACCCACTCACAGAGCTGGTACTGGCAGAGTGTAACTCGAGGCAAGTTCTTTACTGAGATCAAAACCGAGCCAGGTTTGTCTCTTGTTCCTTGTTTGAGCTCTCTGTGCAACCTCTTTTGCTCTCCAGCCTCCCAGAGGCACCAAGAGTTGTTCCTTATTGTGTCCGATTGATTCTTCTAAGTGGTAGAAGGCAATAGGAGTGGTTTCAGTGTGGTGTTTCACGTGTTGAATGTGCTGTTTGTTTCTTGGACTGGCTTTTGGTCTGGGGAAGCAAGAGCTGCTTTGTTGGAGCAGAGGCTTTGCAGCCAAGCGTTTCAGTTGAAACACCGGAGTGAACTTTGCTGTCTCCCGGGAGCAGATCCCCATGGCGTCAAATCTAATCCTGCTTTTTTTCCTGAATAGGTCCTAACATCTCCCCTGAGAGGATGGAAGTGTATATAGAAATAAACCACCCAACTGCTGCACTAATGTGGGAAAATGGTTCATATTGTTTGCTGTCTCAGCTCAAGTGACAGAACTTCATGTACTACTGCTTATATTCTGGACTTATTTTGGACCAGCAACTGTCAGCTGGAATATTCTTTGGAAGAGGGAATGTGTTCAGGGGTACCTTCTTCAGGGTGTCTTTTTTTTGTGTATGATTTTTTAAGTGCAGATTAACTTTCATGTTCTTCTTTCTGGGTCTCTCAAAGGCTGCTGTAGTCTAAGCTGAAAGTCAGACTCCTTTTCTGAACCCTGAAGAAATCATGCTGTTTTAACATGGAACCAAAGCTCACTTGAAATAAACCAGCTCTAATTTCTTTGTTCTGAGTAACCAAATGGATTTTGGTGCTGCTGGTTTCAGCAGTAGGTGTGAAGCAGCACTCGGTATCTGGAAGGATGGATTCCTGGTGCTGAGGAGTTGTGTATATTGTCACTTGGGAATACTGGATTGTTGATCATGTAGTAGTGTAAAAGACTGTACAACTGTTTGGCTGGTACTAGTGTGGAGGTACTACAGGTTTACACAGAGCCATGGCTCTCCCTTGAGCTCAAGGGCACCGTGTGCTCCTCAAACTCGGAGCTCCTTGCAGGGTCGGGGCAGTGCAGGGAGCAGTGCGTTGTGTCCTGGTGGGACTCATCTCTCCTGTGCTCAGCACAAGGAGGCTTTGGCAGTGTCTGACTGTCTGGGATGGAATCCGCAGCTCCGACTTCTTGCTTCAGTTTGTACCTTGCTCCTGGGTAGTACCAAATGCAAACAGTTCTCTGTACACTCATAGGCTGTGGTGGAACACTATGGAATGTCTTCATTAAACTGGGGATGGGAGTCCATCTCCTGAAGCTTAACCGATGGGCATGTTTAAGTTGTTTCCTCTGTATCCCCCATACTGTAAATAGTTTAGTTGGGTTTTTTCTCTTTTGTTTTTAGCAAGCTGTATGTGGGGAGGGGGCCGGGAGGGGGGAGCCTTTGTTTGCATGAATAAGTGGGTTAAATTGCTGTAGGCATGCGTCCCTTTTCAGTTGGTAGGGAATTCTGTTGGGAAAGCACCTTGACGACTGAACCCCTTACAGAGCTAGAGTTTTAGTTACGCGCTGACCTAGGTTACTGTCAAAGCTTGGATTTATTTTTGTAGGACTTTATTGCTAAGACTTAGACCATAGCAGTGGGGATGCTCTTTGGAGTAATGTAAATTGTAATTATAATAAACATGTAAATGTTTCATGTTGCCCTCCTGCTTTGTTCTGTATGGAGCTGGGTACCACTGATCTGTCTGCGGGTCTGCCCTTGCAGGGCTTAACCCAAGCTGGAGCTCAGGGTGCTGCAGAGCTCTGTGCAGCCTTACACAGTACTTGAAAAGGGCTTAAAACCTCAAATCCAGACGCTGACCCCTGGTCTCTGTTAGCCTCTGTTCCACCCTCCTGTTAAGCACCCACCGGAAGGGTTGTGATGTTCACACATTGCCCTGCTCCTAGATGGGCTTGGCTGGAGCTTGTTTTGGGTGGCAGCACTGCTGGTCAGTGGTCACAGATGGATTCAGTGTCTGGGCTTGTACCAGCACAACAGGGCTGTACCAGGCAGCTGCCGTGGAAGCTGCTGTGAGCCTCCCATTTCTCAGCTGGTGCAACAGCCAGTGTGATGTGCAGTGTTAAGGATGGAGTTGTACTGCCACAAATGACTTGTACACTAAGTGACTTTGCTATTAGCTTCCCTGTACGAAGGCCTTTTGTTTGTTTTCAAGGCAGTTGATCCCCTTGTTTCTACAGCAAATCCTCAGCTTCAGTACAGGAGACAAGAGTTGCTGTTTCTGGTGCTGTGGAAGCTGCTGCACTGTGCATGTGTCCAAGCTGAGCTGTACCTGGGTCACTAGTGCATGGGAACAGTGAGGGGACTTGTGGCTGTGGCTCAGCTCACTGACTGGGAGCCCTTCACAAAGCATGAGCCTTTTTCTGCTAGGACTGTTCCTGCTGGCCCCAGGGCACTGGTGCATTTATGGCTTAATGGTGTTGTTCCATTTAGCTATGGGAAGCCACCAGCCTGTCACTCCCGGTGGTCAATCTCACCAGCAACCCCTCATTGTGAACCAGAGGAGTCACACAGCCACTCCAAGCCAATACCAGATCCTGTCCCACACTGTGCAAATGGACCCGTGCAGCCAGTTCTCATACTGCACCCCCAACACCCCTGTGCTGCCCCCCAGAGGGAAACCACCACCCCCTGGCACAGCCTCGCTCTTTACATTTGAAGATGCATTAGGGGAAAAAAAAGCTCAATTCCACACTGCTTCTGTTCTGCTGCTGCTTTAACCCAGCCCTCGAGCCAAGCACTGCCAACTGAGAGGGTGCAGGGACCAACCATTAACAGAATGAAGTGACCCAGGAAAACTGGAGCCAAAGCCTTTTTCCTTTAATGGGTCACTGCTGCTGGTCTGCAGCCACCAACAACTCCCAGGGAAGGAAAATCCAAGGAATGGACAATTCCAAACTAACAGCTTTAAAAAAAAAAAACACCCAGTAGGTTTATTGTAGGTCTCCCGAGGGGCAGAGTATGGACAAGTGGAATGCCTACACCAATGGTCTATACAGAATAACCCATTGCTTCAGTTAAAAAGCAGCAGCTGAGCCATTGACTTTCATCCATCATGTTGTTTTCTTCTGCTTTTTCTTCTCATTTTCTTCCTTTTCTTTTTCAATTTCAGCAACATACTTCTCTATCTCCTCAGGGTTCAGGATCTAGAACAGGAACACAGGAGACCCTCAGGATCCTAACACAGCTCAGGGCTCTTTGTTTCAGCAACACTACCTCTCGCTCAGAACGAGAGTTAGCTGGGATTCATCCAGGCCCAGGTACCCTGTGGAGACACAGCATTCCTTGGCCACCAACTACAGACACAAGCTCTGGCCAGGACAGGATGCAGGGTGAGGGGTGGAGGTTAACACAGCTCAACAGGGACAGTGGGAAGGGAGAAGAGCAGAACAAGGCCCTCACTCACCTTCAGTGGCTGCTCCCGCCTCATGACGGCCAGCTCGATGTTCTTTCCTCCAGACTGCACCACCTTAGGAGTGGGTCAGTGTTAGAGTTAATGAATGGACACGCTCCCAACCACCCCCTTCCAGGTCAGAATGGCTACAGAGGGGCAGCATTCCCCTCACTGGCTCTACACACTCTGCTCCAGCAGCAGTGGAGCTCTACAGAAGTAAGGGTCTTCCTTCTGGGAGCAAGCAGGAGCCCCCTTTGCCACCATCAACCTCCTGCTATTTGCTGTTTCTTCAATGCAGAAGTAAAACATTCTGCCTGTGGTGCAGCACCTGTGTGGTGCATTTGGCTGAATGCCCAGAACTGAAGCCTGTTTTCCTCCCCGGAAAACTACCAGTAAATTCCACGTAAACTATGGAAACTGCTACTCAAATACTCTGAACCTTGAATTTAATCCCGCAAGGAACAGCTTCACAGATCCTGCTATGGTTCTCTCCTGTGACAGACATGCACGGAGATTTCCCTGTATTCCCACTGAAGTGAGTGCAGCCCTGCAGGGAGAAGTGACTGAAGGGCTGTGAAAGGGACGCACCTCAAGAAGTGCCTTGATGACAAGCTTGATGGTGAGATCATCCGTTTCAATGGCTTCATCAGTGTAGTTTTTCTCCAGGAATTCACGCACGGATTTGGCTCCTCTGCCAATGGCATTGGCCTGGAAACGTTGAGGGAGGGGAAAGGCAATGGAAGTTCACGAAAGCCTCACTGACAGAGTAAGCAAGCAATAAGAGTTGTACAATTACATAGGCTGAAGCCATTCTGTGATCCCCTTCTATTTTTAAGGAGACCGAATGTGTAAGTTCCCACATGTCACACACAAAGACACTTGTGGTGGGTTTGGGGTTTTCCTGTTGCAAACAGGACAAGATCTCCCTGTAAAGCTCAGCTGCAGCTGCCATTCACAGCCAATCTGATCACTCAGGATTTCTCCAGCTGTGAGCCACCCCCATCTGGTCAGTGAGATCTCCTTCCTACACCAGTCCCTCTTTAAAGGGGACATTAACTCACAAATACTCCATCCCATCTCCACACGAAGCAGAACCAACTCACCTTCCAAGCATGGTACGTGCCAGAGGGATCGGTCTGGTACAGCCGCGGGGTCCCGTCGAAGTCAAAGCCCACAATAAGAGCAGAGATGCCAAAGGGTCTGCGCCCGTTGCTCTGTGTGTATCTCTGAGCAAAGAGAAGAGACTTATTTCAGAAGCAGTTCTAAGACCGTTGTGAGAGTAGAAGCAGGCACTGGAGATGAACCAGAAAAAACACTAGAAATATTTATAGCAGGGTCTTACCAACCTACCTGCTAGAGTTAAAATCCCAGACTAGTTTGGGTTGAAGGGACCTTAATGTTCACCCAGTTCCACTCCCCTGCCATGGGTAGGGACTTCCACTGGAGCAGCTTGCTCCAAGCCCCTGTATCCAACCTGGCCTTGAGTACTGCCAGGGATGGGGCAGCCACAGCTTCGCTGGGCACCCTGTGCCAGCGCCTCAGCACCCTCACAGGGAAGAGCTTCTGCCTAAGAGCTCAGCTCAGTCTCCCCTCAGGCAGGTTAAAGCCATTCCCCTTGGCCTGTCCCAAGCTACTCTCCAGATTTCTTGAGGAGCAACCCTGGCTGCTGGGTGGTGCCGAGGGGCAGACAGAGCAGTTTAATACACACTAAATGCACAATTTATCACAGAGCACAGTTGGGCAGATTTTGATGCTCTAATTAATTAATATTAACCCTAAACCATACTCAGGACTGCACTGATTTGCTCCCCTCTTATCCCTCCCTGCAATGGCTTAGTAGGAGGAAAAATGAATAGGAGCCATGAAGACGTTCTGACAATAACACAGCTCCATTGTTATGAGGGCGAGATAAGAGCTGCGGATCAGCTCAGTGCTCCTGATGATATCACAACAGTCACTGTGCAGAACTCGCAAGTGCTAATTAACTTCATCTTGGAAGAGAACCCAGTCAGTCATCACTCCTCCTGTTCTATTTCTACATCCCTACTTCCAATAAACACGTTTTGTTGTGCTGATTTTGACCAGCTGAGTAGAACAAGGCTTGGACATACTTAAGTTTAGAGCTCTGTTCATCGGGATGTATCTTGAAGCATCCCTATGGGGTCCAACGTACCTGTTTCAGACTGGCAATGTAGCGCGTGATGTACTCCACGGTGACGGGATCCTCCACTGTCAGCCTGTGGCTCTGACACTCCACCCGAGCTCTATTTATAACTATTCTGGCATCAGCTGTCAGCCCTGAAACGACAGAGTATTCTCAGACTCATCCTGCACAAACACAACAACTCCTGTTGCCTCCAAAGGCTCTCGAGGTCAGTGTGACAGCAAAGGAAAAACCAAACGCGATCACACTTCCTCAGGTTTGCTGCATTTTTAAGGCAACAGACAGAACCCAACACACCAAAACAAGCAGAGGGGTCGGTTCACAGCTTTCATGTTTGTGAGTTTCAGGGAACACACACAATTCTGAGCCAGGTGATGGCAATGCTACTGACAGAGCGACAGCATTTGGCAAAGCAATCTCAGTTCTCACACACACTGGCTTTATTTCTTATGCAGCAACCCAACTACAAAGCAGCTTTATGTGCACAGCAAAGCTTGCCTGGTTGAACTTTAACATGTATTTCCCCTCATTAGATCCCTGGCTCTCTCTATATTCATCCATACAGTAGACTACTCTTGGTTTACAAAGAATAAGCAACAGTGGGACCATATTCCCTCCCACAGTTCTCAGCCACTTATGCTAAGTGTTCCAAACCCCCTGAGGGGAGCATGTACCTGCAAAAGCCATGCAGACATTGTCATCGAGAGCACAGATCTTCCGTACAGTCCTTTCATCCTGCAGTTTTGCCACAGACTTCTTTTCCACACCAAGCACAACAATATCCTTCCCTCTTACTCCAACCTTCAACACATTAAAAGAAGAACAAGTTAAGCTTTTAGGGCCTCAAACCTCGGTGAGCTTCAGAGTGCACCGAAATTAGTAGGAAAACCCAGGACACACAAACCCCCCCACTCTGTAAGTGTTATTTCAGCTTGAAACCAGTATTTTATTTCCTATTGCCACAACCTGGGGAAAGGGCTGATGTTACAAAACCTGCAGTGGATTCCAGGGTGCAGTTTTACAATCAATTATTACTGTTTAAATCTATGTGGCTCTCAGAGATACAATCCCACTCCT